TCCTAACTATGGGGGCTGGAGTCTATCCCACTCAGGGTGAAGGCAGGTTCACCTGGACAGGTAACCAGTCTATCACAGGGCTACACTTAGAGACAGACAACCAAGCACACTCACATTCACACCTACAGACAATTTACAATCACCAATTAACCTCAGCATGTTTCTGGACTGTGGGAGGAAGCTGGAGAACCCGGAGAGAACCCACACTGCACGGGGAGAACATGCAGAAAGATCCCGGGTGTCCTCACCGGGATGCGAACTGGCGACCTTCTAGCTGCGAGGCGACCACCAGAATGCTAAACATGCACATTTTTAGTAATTGTCTGAATCAGTAATCGGCATTTTATCAATCTAAGAACCCAGACTGAGCGCTGTGACCTGTGCTGATGATGCTTTTTCGTGAAACACACATGATTTCTGCTGCAAAGGCAGATCTAGGAACACTGTCCTAGTTGATCCAACTCGTCTTTAACACATAAGCTCTGTCTGGAGGTCATTAGGCATCACGTAAGTCTTTGTCATGGTGGCCTGTTGCTAGCTAGACCCATACAGAACTGCTCGTAGCCTGAGTGGTGGCAGAACCCGGTGCTGCAGCTAATCTACAATACATTTTCTGACATGCATGCAGAGAATACAGGTGTTCGCCATCTTTTGTAACTTAGTGTCTTACCAGAACTTTATGACAACGTTCATGAGCACCTACGTAATTAAACAGCAGCATTTTTTTTAAAGCATTGCAGAGCCGTTCAGCTGTCAGACGTGCACACTGGGTTGATTTTAATAGCCTCATTGTACCTAAAGTGTGTAAAATGTTATTGGCAGAAACTAAATATGAATTAACTCCGACGGGATCAAGGGCAATTCCAGTTGATCAAGGCATCCCTGTTGTGTGATTACATTCCCGTAGTACTGCTGTAAACAACACTATACTGTGATATCTGGAAAGTATAGCATCACAAATGGCACACACCCCAGTTTAAGTAAGGACGAGATGCGATCACTTCCCCTCCATCTTCCCGGTGAGGATGATCCACCCCTTTCTGTGCTTTCTTTTTTTTTTTTTTTTCCTTTCCCCTCTCTCCGGGGAGAATACCATCATGCATAAAGAAAGACACGGAGAGCGGCAGCAGCATATGTCTGTGGCGGCGGATGCGGCGCTGACAGGCCGGGCTTATCGTCTCTGCAGCTCTTCACTACAAGCGTGATTACCGCTGACAGCTCCGACTGCTGATAAAAGCGGGAACATTAAAGAAAACAGAAGAGCCGCGCAGTCGACGCACCAGTGTTTCTTCTCATCAAGCCCCCCGCGCCTTCCCCTTCCTCTCCCCTCCCCAACCACCACCACCACCACCTCCACCAGCAGCTCCTTCTATTCCTCGCCTTCCCAGTACCCCACGCCAGGGGTGTCAGAGCTGTCGAGAGCGGGAAGTGACATCACAAGAATTTGCCAGCAGTCTCGAGGCTCATCATGTCAGCGGCAGCCTGTCTTGTGTCAGGCTTCCCTCAGGCAAGCTGTGATCCAGCCCTCGTCTCGGCACATCAAGACTCCTCGCCGAGGAGGGGAGGGAAGGAGGGAGAGAAAAAATTAACAGAATGTTTTTCCATCTTGTTAACTGACAGCATCGTTTGTTAGAGCGCTGTCTCAGCAAGCGGAGTGTGTGGAAGGGTTTCAGATTGGCAGAGGGAAGAATTGGCTGGTGAAAGCATGGTGAATTATTGAGTTTGGATGAGGTGTCAGAGCTACCGCGTTGCTTTGCGTGGGCTTCCAGAAAGCATCTGAGGTGTGATAGAACAAGCGTGGAGGAGTGCTTGATTAAAAAGCTGTGAAGAACGTGGGGCATCGTTTTCTTGGGCCGGTCAGAGTATTTGTGTTGGTACGTCTGTGGATGTGTGCATACTGTATGTAATTACTTTGAACATCCAAGAGAAAACGGTACAAAAGCCGTCCCTCGCTTCTTCCAGAACTACTTTCCATTCTGCCAGAGTGAGACGCTGCTTCGCGAGTCATGGAAAATCTGCTCTATCTCCTGGGTAAATCTCCATCTCGCAGATCTGGCCCTCCGTCAGCTCATTTGGACAGAGAGAGGGGCTGCCTCGGCAAAGAATGCTTTTGATTCTCTTTTCATTTATTTGAACTGATCTGCTGTGATTAAGAGCTCCGTGTCTCATTATTCTCTTTTGGAGAGGAGCGGGGCATTGCCTTTTGCCAAAATATTTGAATGATTAGGGCCCAGGCACGGGCCATGCCAAAGCGACGGGAAGCATTCACTCTGCTTATTAGATTCACTTAAATGCTGTTGTAAATCATCGCTGCCAGTGCGCTCTGCCAGGCCCAGGCTCTACTTCGAGAAGCTTCCACTGCAGATGCCAGAGCACAGCGTCGAGCCACTAGAGGCAGCTGAGACTGTTGGTCGGTGCTGCTGTTTGTTTTAGCTCGGCCCGTTAATACAGCAAAACGGTTGTTTGACCGGTTTTGGACGAGATCGAGATGCGGGTGAAACAAAAGAAAGCAGCTGGAGATGGTTTCTGTCTCTGAAGCTGTAATCTTTAAGACAGAAGCAACAGTGATTTAAACTTAAAGGAAACATTTATTAACACCAGGACGCCATTGTTTGGCCAATTCCCATCTATCGCTTGAGAAACAATTGAAGTGTTCCATGTGAACGTCGCAGATCGTCGGCTGCTTGATTGTGGCCCTGAAAGTGAACGAGTGTGATTAGCGCCGGAGTTAAACCTGAGTGTTATTCCATTGTTCTGTCAATTTTAAGATTGCCGAGTGAAAGAAAAGAGAAGGGGGGGAAAAAAAAATTGCAGCTTGCTGAGCACTCAAGGAAAAATACTGGCTTTGGTTTTTTAAAATACCCCCGGAAGCTCAATCATGCCTTCCATTTTGGCACATTGTCAAGAAGCAAATGCAACAAATCAGAACATATTGTTACTCAGGGGGCGTAATAGGAGCCTTTGAACCATGAGCTCCGCTGCTCGGCTCATGCCCTCGCCGTGACAAACCGAATCCATCAGTTTTTTTTATTCACATCGCCTCAGTCAGTCACCAAAAGCCATCTGCGGTGATGCGGCCTCCTTGTTTGTCATTTGGCCACTTCCTTTAATAACGACATGAAGAATGAGTCCTGTGTCTGTCTGCCGCGGCAAAGGTCAGCGTGCGAGGATTGGAGAAACGTGAGAGGGATTTCCTTCGTCCTCGATGGCCTATAAACACTCGCCGCCGACTTTGGCTCCGGCGCAGCAGCTTGCTTTTCGATAAATGCTGCGGCGCAAAAGAGGACAGATGAGGATCATGAGGTGTGACTGTGGCTGGGGAGGTGGGGTAGAAGAGAAGGAAGAGGAGAGAAGGGGACAGGCAATTTAACAGCGGCTGTGACTCGGGAGGAGGGGGGAGAGATGTATGGCGCCCAGCCAGCAGAGCAGTGGAAAACAGTGGTCCAGACTAATGATCCACAGCGTGATCGTTATGGCCCCCACAGAAAGGATGGGCACAAGGCATGGTTCCCTGGAAATCAATTCCCAGGAAGCGCATGAGCACTAGTTGTAAATCACGGCGGTATGGAAAGATGGATGGAAGGCACTGGGGATGAAAGGGGAAGGTGGTTGTGGAAGAGGAGAGCGTGGGTAGAGGGGGAGCCTTCCAGGGTGGATAGATAGAGCATGAAGGGAGAACTCTTTCGATCATAAACCCTGAAGGCAAAATTAGTTGTGCCCTCCGCCGCCCCTCCCCTGCAAAAGCAAACCAATGATGTGGCTGTTCCAGCCTCTTGCCCCTCAGCCACCCCTCTGCTTGATGGCTCCATCGCAGGTTGAGGCTGAGGTTTTAGAAAAGTGTTCTCAAATTGATTTATGTCCCGCAGAAGAGCCCCATCAATCCTAATATGAAGCTAATGAAATCATTGGGTGTTGAGGGGAGAAGTGGAGGTGTGCGAGCGGGGATTTGTGCATGTGTGGGTGAAGGTGTTTTCTGCATGGTGGTGGTGATGGAGGGAGGGAGGGAGGACTTTAGAAACATATCATGATAAAGAAGGCATTGATCAAGGAGAGTCCGATGATGACAAATGCCACAGCTCCTGAGATAAACAGCCTAAAGCGAGCGTAATGTGGTTCAGTATATCAGCCAGTGTGTCCTCAAGGCTGCTTGAAGAGCGGCTGCCTCACATGGTGCTCAGTTAGCTGAGAGGCTTCCCATTAGCCCACAACACATCTTTTATTTTACACTTTATTAAATATTTCAAGGATCAGGGAAAATTCTCTCTTTAATATTCGATGTTTAACTAATGGAAAATTCTGCTTGAGTGTTGTTTCCATGCCGTTCTTTCAGCTACATTAACATGTGAGTTAAATCTGGAAACGTTGTTAAAGAAAGATGGACAACAAACATGTGCAGTGCAGTTTCCATACGTGCTTTAAATAGTCTCTGGAGTTGCCTTCAAAGTCCCAGTGTTGCTATTTCTGCAGTATGGGAAGGTACATGTGGTCTTAATTTCATCATCTCCCCAAGTCTGTGAGAATCCACACTGACACACATTTCAAAGCCACTTAACGCATCACGAGGGTCCACGTGCAGCTCCTCCAAGTTTGTGGCTGCGCTGACCGTCCACCTTCCAGCGTGCTGACTGTGCAGGAAAATAAAATGTGCATTAAACAAGCGCTGGTCACGCGGAGTCCTGAGAGTTTACGAGGATGTATGCTGTCATCTACACCTTTTTAATTATCAGTGAAAGATTTGTAATGGATTAGTCCCTCGCCAGACTTTCGTTTGTACGTGCTTTCCATCGGCTGTGCCTAAACACACAACGAGTTTGACGTCAGCAGCCATAGGACGGTCTATGCAGCAGACTGCGGTGAACCCAACTGGCTCTTTGGCTGCATGCAGACATCCATAGACCCCTCCACATGTAGACGGCACATATATATTTCCAGCAAATAATTAGTGTCTACCCAACAACTAATGGTAGTGGTCTGCACTTATATAGCGCTTTTACCCAAAGCATTCACCCATTCATGCACCAATGGTGGAGCTGCCATGCAAGGTTCTGCCTGCCATTGGGAGCAACTTCAGGTTCAGTGTCTTGCCCTTCGACTGTGGAGGGGCCGGGGATCGAACCACCAGCCTTACCACTGGAGGACAACCAGCTCTGGCACCTGGGAAGTAGTGCCCATGTGCAGAATATATATATGGAATATAATCCAGCAGACTCCAAGCAGACTAGAAACTATTATAATACCAAATGCGTGCACGGTAGCTGCTGCTCTCCATGTGCCTGTCCACAAGGGAGAATAATCAAGGCTGAGTGGTAGTGGTACACCCAGAGTGTTCACTGTAAACACTTATCACAGTGGGTTTTTGGTGCTGGTAGATGGACCGTATTGGTCGTGGTAGTTGTGTGCACGGGCAATTTTCTTTTGCCACGTTCAATAAGAAACGTTTTGGATGCAATAAATTTGCCTCTAAATTGAATGTTTGACATCATCTAGCTTCGTACTTGCCATGTTGGACTTCTTCTATTGATTGTTGTTTCCAAATCGTAGCATTTACTTTGGCGTGGACGATGTTCTCATAACTGAAAATAAGTGAAATTACAAAAATAACAATCAATGTGTAATGAACTATATAGTTGTCGTTACACGTGCAGGTTTGTAATTGGATGTTTCCAGCGGTCCTGTAGGACAAAGCACATGCAAGAGCGAAAGCGCTAACGGGAAGTATAGCATGATAAAACGCTGCAGACATTAGAATCAGCTGTAAATGACCAAACACCGTTCTTGCCGGTGATCTCAGGAACTCCCAGCAGGCTGTAAATGGTCTGCACTTGTATAGTAAATGCATTCGACAAAGTGTTCAGGCCTTTCTCGTTCACCCGTTCACACACAGAACTGTCATGCAGGGTGCTCGCCTGCCGTTGGGAGCAGCTCGGTTCAGACTCTTGCCTGGGGACACTTTGGCGAGGATTCAAACTGCCGACCTTGCAATTTGTGGACAAGCCGCTGCACAGATGCTGTGAGACGACCGGCCGGCAGGTGCCCACATCTCTCACAATCGTGGACCTTGAAAAAAAAAAATACTAAAACTTCATAATGAGATATAATTAGTCCAAGGAAATAAAAGTGTTTCCCTGAGAGCCACGGAAGGCCTTGGGTTGTTCGGCTTCTTTGTGATTCTTTGTGAGTGTTGCTGATGTGCTTGCAGGAGCCACCGGTGTGTGCTTGGTCTAAAAATCTCTGTCAAATCAAGTGGAGACCACATCCACGTATTGCACTGATAATTAATCAGGCCACAACTTAATGTTTCATCTCCAGCAGCCTATAAGCTCAGGCTCCTGCTGCTTCTCACACTGTGGTGGAGCTGCATCAGTTTCAGCCAATAACAAATGAAACCATCCTCCGTTTCCTATTTTTTTTTGTCTCCCACCGTCGTTCTCTTCACTTCATTATGCAGGCAGCCTGACGCTATTTGACAGAATGTGCTATCTGCAGCCCCCAGCTGCAGTCCCCCTCACACTATCGTTGCATCGCTGGCAGCTTAACCCCACTGCTGCCTGCCACAGTAAAGCACGGAGGAAATGATGATGATGCTGCTGCTGTCTAAAGAGAGACTGAGAGGAAAGAAAGATAGACCCCCAAGCACCTGATGTTGGTGCTGGGTTTTGGTACCGCTGCAGAACTTAGCCTGACCATTTCACATCATGGCGTTGGATGTAAAAAGGTCATATTTAATTGACAACAGCCGTCTCCTCGGTTTGGAGAATACAGAAGCAAGTATGTGACTTGAGTTATAACCAGGCGTGTAAAGCCTCAGCTGACAGTGACAACACACAGCTGAAGGCAGGTTCTGACATCAGAACCGTACAATGCATAAGCTTCGTCCTGCTTCCTGGTCTTGGGTGTAAATCACGGATCAATGTGCTATTGGGCTGCGGTTTGCTTAGTGGACTCACACAGCTAGAGTGTATGTAGACTACATTCATCAGCATTTTGTCTCCCTCACAAACAAATACGTGCAAACGAGACGGCATCCAGATCCGTCTCCAGAGAGCCGCGTGTAGCTTAATGAAGAAACAAACAAACGGCTTTAAGGGCGAGCGTCTGAAAGCTGCAGGTCTGGAAAGCGTAGCATATCTAATTTGTAGGTTAATGTCGGCGCAGGCTTATTTATCTGGGTTATCCTCTGCACCAGATAATTAGATGTGCACATGCAGCACTAGGGACAGTGTCAGCCGAGGCCCTGCTCGCGTCTGGCATTTGTAGCTTTTATTGTTTCTGTCCTTGTTCGTGGAGGGAGCGCGCCGTGGACTTGTTGTCAATATTTTTAACGCTAAACCCGTATTGGGTGGAGATTGCCGCGGTTGGGTTTTCATTATTATTTCATTTGCCAGCGTTGCTTTTGAATTTAATACCTGAAAAGAACGTAATAAAGGATGTGATATTGTGCCGCAAATCCTAATCAAATAGCCACTTAGACTGTACAGTGTACCGTATGCATATGGCTGCCGCTAATGAAGCATGATGTCGAATCGTTGTGCCGCCTGGTGCATTGTGGGTAGTGGCATAATGAGTTTGGTGTGAGATTTGCCAGTGACAGGTCCTCGTTCCCTGGACTTGGCTCTGGTCTGTCTCTCCCAATGCGTGTTAACTGTCAGGTGTTGAGAGCCAGACTGCCGTTGAAGTTTTTTCTCTTTTTTTTTTCCGTGCTGTCTGCTTTTGATTTCTTTTCCCTGAGGTGTTTAAAAAAGCAGCTCGATTGTTAGTGACAATCAGCCGCTCTGGCCCTTTTGAACAGAAGGTTTGATTTAATCGTGAGGCTGTCATTTATTATTCTGGAGCGGCAGCCGCCCCTGTGAGGCCTGGGCCTGATCAAGCGCCTCGGAGCTGTCCCCAAGATCTCACTCTTTTCCCTTTTCCCCCGTTATGTCTAAATCCTCAATACAAATCGCAGTGTTTCGGCTCTCCCAGTGGGGCCTATTACTGCCTGTGGGGCATTAAAGATCATTAATAGTGCTGTCAGAGAAAGAGAGGGAGAAAGGAAGCAAAGGGGAGGGAGAGCGGGGAGCAGCAGTGAGTTGCTTAGCTGCTCATAAATGGGAAATTAATACATCTGCTTCATTAATGCTGCCTCGTGTTTGATGTTTGTTAGCTGGCAACTTTAATGATGTAGGTTTGAGCCGACGGGGCGCTTGACTAAATTTGATTCCTCCAATTAAGTAGTCAGGCTTCTTTTCTTTTGGGAAAATGGTTAGAAAGGAAAAACTGCTGCCTAATTATGGACTCCAAACCTTCAGTTTTGTGGCTCCTGCTCTTTTTTTTTTTTCCTCCCTCCCTCTGTTTTTTTTTTTCCTTCACTCTTCATCTGTCAGCCGCTGATTGCAGCGACACATTGATCAGCAGCGGCCCGTGCCGAGTTGCTTACCGTTCGCTAATCAAGGTGAAATTTTTTTTAATCAACTTTCTTAATCACTGACATTACAACACAGTGGATGGTAATTGATATATATATACTGCAAGGTGATGCTCTAGTGCAAATGATGAAATTACTACTATCAAGGTTCTAGACGAGAACAACTGCATCTTAATGGCAGCCTTGAAAATCCAACACGCAGGAAACATAAAAGCCTCCGAAAGCTTTTTCTTATGCATGAATTCCACCCCGCCATACAGTTTAAAGCAAAAAAATATGAGATGTTGCAGAAAACCACATTCGTCCCGCTGACTGAGGCTCAGGATGAGATCATTCTTTCATGTGTTTGTACTTGAAGTGAAGTTCAGAGACAGAAAGCAGCCCCATTATTTAAAAAGTATAAATAATGTCTGTGCGTTGACAATTTGTCATTTGCAAGGTGCCGTACGGGGAGACGCTCACCAAACCATTAAACTGCAACCCGTGATTCAGATGATGGGAAAATTAATTGTCCAGTTGTAGTTTGTTATCTGAGGTGACAGTCACAGAAATAACGACACAACACTCTTTGTCGCAGCTGATTAAATGTCTGTATTTACATGCGCTTCATGCAGCTGCTGAGTCAGTAGTGAACAGTGTTTTCCCAGCGCCGTCTCCGTTATACATGGTCAGTACTGTAAAAGATAATCGTGGCGTTAACTGCTTAATCTCCACTTATGCTGCCGCAGATATGCACGCAAATGTATTCACCAGCTAAAACAAAAACAGAAGCTCAAAAATAAGTTGGTTTCAGGCATCGAACTGTGAGTGGGCGACCTTTATTGTATGCTGTAGTGGTGCAGCTTGTTTTATATGTTAACAAATGTATTAGACCTCCACCCAACGTCAGGTTTACGCCACAGCAAATTAACAGCATTGGTAATTACCTAAAGCATTTCTTATGTTTCTGCAATGGTTAATACACCAGCATGTGGAAGCTCTTTGAACAAAATGTGTGTTTAATGCTAAAATATAGCTGTTGTTATATATTAAGTGTTATGGATGAATTTTCAAATGTACTGTTTTACAAAAAAACACTAGAAAAAATCGTAATGCACATTATTGTTTCTTGATTAAGATGTTAAATTATAGTTATTTACTTGCATTCCTGGACAGCAAAATGTCGTTTTAGTTGTTTAATGTGCTGCTTGATTCATTCCTGACTCCTCAGAGAAGCCCAGTGGCTCAGATTTGGACACAAACAGGTGAATTCAGTTAGAAATTCCTCATTGAGAGTTGAGTGAGCATTAAAGCACTCCATGATGCTGGATGGTCTAATAACTTTGCTAAGCACTGTGTGTTTATATTCACACACACACACACACACACACACATATATATATAGTGTATACATATTTTTGCACTAATTTATTCCCAGATGCATGACAGCTTACTTGAAGATAACACATGAAAATATTATGCTAAGAACTGTATCATATTCTAAATAAAACTGTGAATAATCTCTTCTTCTGTCTCTCCAAATCCCCGTCTTTAGGCGCCCAATATAATATGTGATACACCAGCATGTGTGTGTGTCTAAATGCAGGTATTTCTTTCAGCAGCGTCCCCACAGTGATCTGCATATGCACACATATGCTGAGCATCCATATGTAGTCTGCCTTGAACTGTTTAATGTC